GAACATTGTTGTACAGGATCCACTTTTCATCACCAGTCACGAGCCGATCCAAAAAAGGTTCGTTTTTGATCCGTCGAAGCAAAGAAATTGCTGTTGACATACGGTCCACTTCGTTTTTTTCACTCAACTGATGTGGCACCTATGTATCAAGCTTCAAAGTGTACCCAACCTTTTTTAAACGATAAAACGCAGTTGATTTGTTGACGTTCAATTCAGTGGCAACCTCTTCCGTCGAAATACGTGATATGAAATCGTCATCAAGCTCAGAAGGCCGTCCACTGCGAGATTGATCTTCGAGGTTAAAATCTCCAGAACGAAATATCGCGAACCATTTCTTTACTGTGCGGAGTGCTGGAGCCCGGTTCAAATAAACTTCGCCAATATCTTTAGTTGCAGCGCCTACTGTTTTTCCATTGCGGAATCCGTATAACATAATATGACGCATATGATCTTTTTCGTTGTCCATCTTCCATGCGTCTTTTCACTAAACAACTCAAATCAAAATGAAGTTATTTTATGCTTGATTTACAGTTCGGACTGTCACCTTTCCAACGATATATAATATGTATATATTTCTTTCACGAGCGCCACTCTCAAGCGATCGAACGGCATGCAGCGGAATCGAGCACGAACTTATGCACTCATCCAATGGATATTAAATATCTCTAGTTCAACATCGCACGACCGGCTAGCAGTATGAAAATTTTTAAGGTAATATCTCTGCAATCGCTGTTGCCATTGATAATCCGATGTTGCATAGTGATGTTACGGATGAACGGTAAATCACCACCATAATCACACTCACAGTCCTTAATTGAGACGTTGAAACTGGATCAGCTTAGAAGATCTGAGCAGCCACTTTGTTCCTTGGAACCTCCACATCTGTTTTCGGCACATTAAGTCCACTCCCTGGTCGATCTTCGCCTGAGAGGTCCGTTACAGTCAAATTGGAGGAGACTAGTTTGTCTCGGAAGGGCGTTGACAACAAGTGGACAAGAGAGGATAGAGAGTGAGATAGAGAGATAAAGAGTGAGAGAGAGAGAGAAAGAGTGAGATAGAGAAAGAGTGAGATAGAGAGAGAGAATGAGAGAGAGAGTGAGAGAGAGAGAGAGTGAGAGAGAGAGTGAGAGAGAGAGTGAGAGAGAGAGAGAGTGAGAGAGAGAGAGTGAGAGAGAGTGAGAGAGAGAGAGAGTGAGAGAGAGAGAGTGAGAGAGAGAGTGAGAGAGAGAGAGTGAGAGAGAGAGAGAATGGGAGAGAGAGAGTTAGAAAGAGTGAGTGAGAGAGAGAGAGTGAGAGAGAGAGAGAGAGAGAGAGAGAGAGAGAGAGAGAGAGAGAGAGAGAGAGAGAGAGAGAGAGTGAGAGAGAGAGAGAGTGAGAGAGAGAGAGCGAGAGAGAGAGAGTGAGAGAGAAAGAGATGTGTGTGGCTCTCGAGTGTTGCAGATGTGTGGCTCTCGAGTGTTGCAGATGTGTGGCTCTCGAGTGTTGCAGATGTATTAAACCCTCGGGAGGTTGTCGTGCGTTGATTCCTACGGCATGTGGTCTGACACAAGCAACAGAGAGATGACAACAGTGATTAGCCATTACAATGAGTGCATCTAACCGAAATTATGGAATCGTTTTGGTCGCGCAATGTATCATCAAAGCAGGGTTGGGTTCAACGCCAGCCCTGATAAGAAGAATTTGAAACAACCTTGCGACAAGGTTTTGCTCTGTGGACATAAATAAACATCAACAACATTTATTTTTTGGCCTAAACGGGTTTAGATCGGAGACTAGCACTAGCAGCCCTTGACTGGATAATATACTGCTCAAGTCCGGTGCGTAAAACCGAGCCGAACCGAGGATTCCTTTAAATTGTAAAAAGATGATGGGTTACTCTTGTTTAGGTTATACCATCCGATGGGATGGGATACGCCAACGGTAACAGAAGTGAGGAGAGACATTTCATTCAACGGCGAAAAATCTTAAAGTTAGGGGGAGCCTGATGTTATGCTGTGTAAGCAATATCAGCTGGTATACTACCGTCGGGAGCATTCTAACAGAAATTCGCTTGAAGCTGAACCTCAATCCAGGCATCCTGAAAGGGGTACTACACCACATCGCCTACATACAGCACCATAACCAACAGGCCTTAAACGCCATTCACCTAGAGTACGTCAGCGCTTACACGAATTCACTTGCTGGAATCCAAGCATTACCTAAAGCAGACAGTGCGCTCGTGCTGTCCTTCCACGCTTTGCATACCCTCTGTAATCAACTCTTTCCCTCTGGTCCGAAATAGCCTGTTTCCAGGATTAGATTAACTCCATGACTTCGACAAATCTCCTCTACTCATAATCGAGGTAGGTATACTGCAACAACAATAACAAGGGGAAAGATTGGCATCCTTACGCAAGATAGACCAATAAAAGATGGAAAGGTTTTCTCTTTAGAAACGCCTCTTAATTCGGCTGGGTTCTTAGCTAAAACTGCTTTTATGTTTTGTTAACATTTTTAAAAAAATTAATGAATTTTAACTTTTCGAACGAATTTTCGAACTTTCTAAAATCATTATTTCGCACTTAATTCCTTTGAAGCATAAACAGTTAAGGTCACAAGCTGTGTGAAATCAATAAAAATCCAAATAAGTACTCCCATGCGCCTGTAAATGACTACTAAATACTAGAGCTTAGTATTAATGTATGCGTAATTCATGGCGTAGCCCAACTCAGTACAGGCAAATAGTGAAAATAATTAATTATTTAAGAGACAGAAATTCGTTGGCTGCCATGTACATATGTGAGCGATATATGTACATGTATTAATATACAAAACACTGTTAACCACTGCAAACCACACCTGCTCCAAAGGCAAAATTGCCACGACCGGAAGCTTAACACTATAAATATACATACATACATACGAGTACACGTATGTGGAGTATAAATGCAGGTGTGCAATGCGTTTGTGTATGTGTGCGTAGCGCGACTGCCGGCTTTCAGCATTTGTTGTCTGTTGCAAATTGTATTTTTTTTTTCAGCCTGCGAGTGTTGAAATATGTAACAACCGCTTAAATACATCAACCAACTGCGCCTAACAATTCATGTAATGCGTGCATTTTTCATGCTAAATTGCAATTCTTTGCTACGCCAAATCTTGTTGTTGTTGTTTGAGCATTTGAAATGCAATAGAATTGATTTTTAATGGGAAATTTCGACGGACAACAAACACCTTCTGGTGGCATGCGAATCAAGTCGGCAGCAGCAGAAGTGGGAGCAGAAACCTTAAACGAAGAGAATGGAATTAGTAAAGGTTAAAAATATATATGCATGTATGTAGCTGTGCATGTTCAAAGGTGTATGTGTGAACATACAATATTTGTGGGCGTATTTGCTGCGAGGCGCAGTATGCCTGAAGGGCAATAATCCATGTTGTTTGTCAAAACAAAAAAAAAACCGTTATTTCAGCAACTTTAATGCCTCGACTCAATTTTTCATGCTGCAAATCAAAACGAGTAATTGTTGCACATTGTTGTAAAAGCGTTTGTACGGCTTTTGCGCAATTTTTTGTTTATACTTATGTTGTTGTTGTGGCTATTGTTGGTATTGCCGTTGTAACATATCACATATCACAACGATAATTGCAACGCCATTCACAACATACAATACTTAAATCCCGTTATGCATTATTAATGAAAATTAAGCACGATTTTCATGTTCAGTTTGCGGTTGCAATGCCAAAGAGATTTTCAACAAATTTTTCCCACCGAAATTTTTAATTCATGCATGTAAAATATTTTATTCGTCGCTGAATTATTTTTTAATGCACATAATTGATATTTTGACTGATTTTTTTTTTGTTTTTTTTTTTTTTTGAATTTTTTACAAAAAAAAAAAATAATAAAACAAAAAAAATTTTATTAGAAATTTTACATATTGTGAGTGCAAAAACATGTAAGCAGTTTCAATATTGTAATTGAATACATTTACATGTAGATACATACATATATACGAGCGGCAGTTGCAGGCGGCTTTTAAATTATGCATTTAAATTCCTATTTCATTTCACTTTTTTCCTAGAACTGCATTATGCATATGCTTTTCACACTAATGCCCCCATTGGCTCGAAACAAAAAGTAAAAAAAAAAATATTATTTAATGGAAAAACGCTGGGCTTTTTTTTTTAGAAGAAAAAGTGTTAATTGCGCAAATATTCCTATTGCACATAAATTCTTTACGAATATTTTCATTAAGTAAATGGATTATTTTTGTAGTTGAAAATTCGATATACATATAATATATGAATATAAATACAAATTTGGCACAAACAAACAAGCAAATAAAAGCATTTTTTAATTACCACTGATTATACTAAAATTTAATGCGAATAATAGCAAAGGCTTTGAAAGAAAATTTTTCAAACGCTAAAAGTCATTTTTTATGCAGATTTCTACCAAAAAAAAAGGAATATATGAATTGCAGTATAATTATCAATTAGCGTTTATAATTAGCAAAATGTTAATATACCCATTCATTTTTATTATTACCAGTTTATTATTGCAATATCCATCATTATTCCATTGCAATGATAACGACTTTAACTAACAGTAAACAATAAATAATAATATGTTTAGTTAGTGCAACTATATTAAGCTATTAATTTTAATTAATAAATAAATATAATGTCCTTTTTTCAAAAACCTTGAAAACATTGGTTTTAACTGTCTCCATTATTTGCTTTGAAACAAACTTGTAAATAAAAATATTAGACGAAATTTTCGACCAAATTAATAACTTAATCTCATTCTAAGTATTTATGAAAAAAGAGCAGAAATTATAAATATTTCTTAAAAATTTGTGATTTCTTAAGAGTATTTGAAAGAAAGTCTGCCGCCGTTAGCGTATATTTGTTTCCCTAAAATAAAATTTTTCATTACCAGCTATAGAGCTTTTGCATGTAAGGCCAAATGCATATCAATAAATATATATGTATGTTTGTCTATGGCACTCACTAACACTTACCAAATGCTTTACTAAGTCCATGTTTGGCCATTAAGCTTTTATTGCGCGAATTTTCAATCAGACTGATGCAATTTTGTGCCGAGCAACGACGTTTCACTGCGCATTCGACGCCAATATTTGCCATGAATGCCTGTAAATAAAAAATAATAAACAAATATATGAAAATATTAAATCGCTAAAATTCCGAAATAAAAAAAATCAAAACTGCAGAAAATATACCCGAAAAAAAGCAAACTGCAATTATCAAAGAAGCGTTTCGTGTGGAGGCGCCCCAAACGTCATCAGCACACAGGTTGGAATATTCATGGCACAATTTATTTATTTTTTTTTTTTTCATTTCGCTAATTGTTTGCGCTTTATTTACAATTGCAATTCTAAGCCGTTTGCTCCGTGCAGCAATATTTTAGTAGAGGAGGCAAGCTCGGTATAGGCAGTTGTTTACATATAAATATACAAAAAAATGAACTATACTGTCTGGATTTTTTCTTTTTTGCAATTACTCTGAGAGAGCACTTTAGGGTGGCACAAGATTGAAGTGTTCAACAAACGGCGGGTACGTTTGCAAAATATGATAGAATGCTCAAAAGTTTGGTTGTTTAAGGAAAGGATTTAAACTATTTTAAATTAAGAGTTATTTAAAACAATATTATATAGATCGGAAATTTTTTAAAGCTTTTTACACAATTTTACAATTATTTTAGCGTCATTTTATGAGAATTACAATATTTGGCATTTCTTTTTTTCAATTGAATGCTTTAAATTTTATGAGGGATATCTTCAAAGGCGAGAGACTCAAAACGTATATCAAATAATTGAAGACCTATTTTAATGCGGAACGAGTTTATTTACCCATTTTTTTATTATATGTATGAAAACTTTATTATGCTTTTATTTTCATTAAAATTTTTATTTGCTATAAATTTAATTTTTAATAGTGTCTCCAATACTATTTTCTATTTATTTCACATTTTAGCTCAGAATTTTATTTTAACGAATTCAGGGAAACCTTCTTGACTTGTCTATGTCTGTAGAACTAGTAGAATGAAAGTATTACACTCGTATATGTAAAACAGACGAATTGAACAAAGAATACTGCTAATTATCGGAGTAATGTTTTCAACTAACATTCGGCTCATGCATATGCATAAGTTGTGGGAATCTTATAAGTCTTTTTGGGCTTAGATTACTCTCGTTTCCGCCGATAAGTTTTCTTAACTAAATTCAATGCAAAGCTATTGAAGAGAAGACAATTCTTGGCAGAACTGGTGTGTAGTGAGGAGGAAGATTTGAGGTGAAGTCGCCTCTGTCTGATTCAAAAAATTGATTTTTGATACCCTAAATCTTTTTATAGTTCTGCTAACTCTGTAAGCATACCTCAAATAATTTACATGATTCACTGTCGGTTAGACCCATTTGTAAGTATTTGCCAAAGTTTTTCACAAATTCACATAACGTTTCACATAGTTGTGTCTCCTTACGTTGCGCTATTGTTTGCAAGCAAGGTAGCAATCGTACAGCATACCATTTTATATTTTTCTCTCTTATTTGAGGTGCATAGTAAGCAAATAGATTGAGACATATACGCAAGGAGCTGCAAGTGGAAAGCAGGAATGTACTTATTAGAATATTAGATCTTAATGTGTTCAGAAATTCACGACGCACCGTTGGTTGCCATTGCGCTTAATCTCTCCATACAAATCCATTAGTATACGACTGACACGTGTTTTTTCCAAGGCTCGAAATATGCGATTCAGATTTTCTTCAGCATTCATGCGTACCACCGGGTCAAGATCTTCACAAAATAACAGCAAGACAGTGGTAGCCATATTGATGTGCGTGGCATAGTTGATGTGGCTCGCTAGCATTGGAGACATAATGCACTCGGCAATATGTTGGAAACAGGTGATTTTCTCTTTTTGGCTGAACAAAATAAGCAGTAAGAAAAATTGTTTAGTGCAATCTATTAAAGTAATCTTACCTGCATTCTGTATTGCGTAGCTGCTCAACGTAGGAGGTGAACTGATTTACCACAGATTTGTCCATATTTTTTCTTTTATATTACTACATACGAAACATTTTTCGATTTCTGCTTGTCAATTGTTTAAAAGTTGGAAAATATGTAACAGTAATAATTAAATTTCTCAATTTACACAAAATTGCACGCAAATATTTAGTGAGTAATCGAATAATTGTTGCACACCTTTTCGTATTTTTAAACAATTTTCGCTTTGATCCGGTGGTTCGTCGTGATGCCATATCGCTGCAAGATAGAAGGTAAGATAATGAGCTTCAAAATTTTTATTGTTCTTGGAAGATGCTTTGAGAAAATGCTGAAAAATTTAAGTCAAGACGAGTACAGACGAAGTTCTCTACTAATATTTCATAAAACTCTTTCCAAATAGCTTTTTTTATGAATGAAAACTGTTTAAACATTCAAAAAAATAAGTTCGTTTTTTTGAGTGATTTTCGCGGCGAATGAGGCACTTATTGCAAATTCCATTAACAGATGTTCGGAATGCAGTGGTTGTGAAACGCAATAGAACAAACAGCTGTTATTAAAAATACGAAAATAAACAGGAATTCCAATTAACTGTTTTCAATAAACTGTAAATAAAATGCATGACTTAATTTACCGGTTTCGATTGTTTAATATTCTTCTTACACGTTGTAACAAGAAGTACTTGTCGTTGGATAAACTACATATATTCCCTTGAAATAAATATAATAGAAGCCATATATTAAAAATGAGTGACGATGATTCAAAAAACTTACCGCATGTGTACGAAAACTGTAAGTAAGCTAAGCCTAAGCCCATCAAAAACTCTGCCACTTTTTCTACATTGGAAACCTATTGAATTGGAACCGCTAATGTCTAATAAGAATAAAACTCAAATAGAAGTATTTTGCAGTGCCTACCGTGTCAGGTAACTTAACTACGAATAGAGGAATCGGCACTGATACATCCAGTTCTGACATATCCATGGGTTCAATAGGAAAGGAAGATTCCACCGAAAGTAAGGATCCTTTGATATCGTGTGTGAGTAAGAGGAAGAGTGACGAAACCTCTAGTTCTGACAGTCCAGCATCGGATTCAAGAGAAGTAGAAAACTCCAACGAGGACTTACCTATGGAATCACCTACGGACTCGATAGGAAGGAATAACTTCAACGAAGATGACGCAAATATCAAATTACCTGCGAATAAAAGGGTTTGTCACGATAACTCAACTTCTGATATCTCAACAACAGATTCAATTGAAAGCAAAAATGCCGGTGAAACCCCTACTTACGCGAATATACCTAAGGGTACGTGCGATACTTCTGATGTCTCAACAGTAGATTCAATTGAAAGTAAAAATGCCGTTGAAAACCCTATATACGCGAATATTCCTATAAGTTCAAGCGATACTTCTGGCTCCAACTATGTTGCAATTGATAAAATAAAAAGGAAAAGTACCGATAAAGCAACAACATCCAGAGAGGCCAAATTATCACCGAAATCAACCACTGATAGTAAATTATCAAAAGCAAACGTATAGGCTTAAGATTATCTAAACAAAATTTTAATTTCAGGAATTCTCCTTGCTATAAAAGATATTTCAGACAGCCAGAAAAGAGTTGAAGAGCGGTTGTCAGTAATTGAGAGCTCGGTAAGTGAGAAAATTCGATTAACTACTTACTAGAATGAGTTAATTTAGATATTTTAATTTCTTAACAGATTTTAATTAACCGCGAATTAGAGAATGAACACTACCGTAACCTGGAAATAGATGTGAGAACGCAATATTTTTACGCTTCAATTTTTTGTACATTATTTTTAAATATATATAATTTTAATTTTATATCAAAAACAGCACACAGTGATTAAACGAAATCAAGCGACTTTGTCAGCAAAAATGGATAATGTGGGAAACAGTGTAAGTTATAGAACAAAATTTCATAATGTTGTTGCTTTTGTAAGCACTCCTACAATAATAATATTGAATCAATTCCAATACTGACGTATGTTCCACAAGTAAAGCCAAGCATTGAATGCACGGTTTCACTCTTGTGTTTTAGCTACACAATACTTTTTCAAACATAAATTCGGAGTAAAAAAGAATTACTTTTTTTTTTTAACAAAATTTGAAAAGTTTTGCTACATACACTTGTGTTGAAAGATGTAAGAAATGGATTTTTTATTTATATTATTATTTTCAGCTCACTATAATAGGCGATCATTTGACACTTGAAAGAAATGAATTCTAGAAAAAATACAATTTCTAAAAAGCTTGAACATATCATAAGAAAACTGAAACCTATACATACATTCATTCTATTCATGAAATATGAAAGTCTGATTTAAATCGTGAATAGAATAATAAACTTGATAAATAACGGGCACTCTAACATTCATATATATTCAACACATGCTGTGAAATTACTTTTTTGTATTGTAAATGTGAGTCTTAAAATATATATATATTTAATAAATATATTAGTATAGTATATAGTATGTATGTGTTTTTGTAAAGTGACTAAAATGAACAAAAATATGTGCTAATATTGACTCAATAATTTCATTTAAATATATTCTTTGAATGTGTAATAAATTCCACTCACTATTGTTCTCTTCAGACTGACGACTTTATGGACATAAGTGGAATATTAATTTGTAAATCTTTATTTTATTTTATTTGTATTTATTATGTGTAAAATCACCATCCACATCATTATATTGTATTATGAAAACAAAAATGTAAATACCAACTTATTTATATTCAAGTAACCACAACGAAAAGTACTATTTTTCAAAAGATTTTATTATTTTAAAAATACGTAATGACTGAAAATCTAGTACAAACATACATATGTACATTCATACAAATTTTGTTAACAAATGTACCTTATTCGATTATAATTCATAAATAAAAATTTTATTATATACTTGTAATTGTAAATGCAACCAAAAATTCGACTTTGTGTTCTTCTATATATAAATGATAATTATTTTCATGTAAGTAGTAAGTAATTGTATATTTTCAGTTTCATCACTTTCTGTGCATCTTCCTAGCGGCACTCCCACCAATCAGAACCTCAAAAGGTTGCTTGATAAATGGAAGAAAAAAAAACACTACAACATATTAATTTATATATTTTTTATTTTAAATTATTTTGTTTGACTTTCACGTACAAATATACATACATACACATATATATGCTAAACTTTACATTTTACATGAAATACATATGAAGAAATGTACTTAAATGCATACATATGTATACATACATCGATTTTTTGCTTTTATATGTAAACATTAACACAATTGACATACATATAATATGTACATATATGTAAAAAAAAAAGAGATACGTAGATTTGTAAAGCGCCAGAAATATTCAAAAACCAATAACAGCATTCATTACAATTTCATATATTTATACATACATATATCTTTTCTTTACAAAAACAAATTTAAAGGAAATTAACATAATCACAGTCCATTTGTGTTAAATAATGATAGCGAGAAGTTTCAACGTGAAGTAAATAGAAAATTTTTGAAAAAGGTTTTAAATCGAAGTTCGTTTTATTTAAGAAAAGAAGTACATATGTATTCTTACGCATACACGTATGTTACCAACTTTTTTAATATCGATCTGACCACATATTTGAATATCAAAAATGGACGGAAATTCGCATGGTACAAAATAGTTCGAAGATAAGTGTTGAGTCGAGCAACAAGAGTGACTGAGTGAAATAGAGATGGAGCGGGCGATAGAGTGAAGAGTGAGAAAGAAGAAAAGTGATAGAATATAGGGAAATAAAGTAATATTTCGACTAATTCGTTGTTGTTTTTTATATTGTATTATTACTGTTTATGTTTTTGTTTTTGCACTTTTTATGTTGTTATTGTTTTTTAATTTATTTTTCATTACAGTAATGCCTTTCAGCTTGCATATCGAATATTTGCATAAGTACAATTATTTACAAAGGAAATTAAAAAAAATTACTTAAAATTAAAGAAAACTATAATAATTGTTTATTATTAAAAATACAACCTAAACCTTAAAATCATTGCTAAATTAAATTAATTTATATATTTTTTAAAGTATAGAAAAATCAAAAAGTAAAAAAGTTTCGTTGTTTTTTGTAGAAGAAAATAAAAATAATTTACAAATGCTTTTGAAAATTGAGAACGGCACTTTAGGGAGTGGTTATTCTTCTGAAATTTTGACTTAGAATTAAGTTTTGAATTTAAATTCATTTAACGTTATATATCTATATATATTTTTTTTGCTAACACCAAACAAAAAATTTTGAAAAAACAATATGAGAATAGAACTTTATTAGCTTTTCAGTAGTTGACGAAGTATGTGTGTGTGTGTGTGTGTGTGTGTACACGTGTGCGAAAATAAACTAGATAGTATGCAATATATATGTATGAATTAATGCTATCATTAGGACAAGACACCTTCAACAGTTGGTTTTTTTATTAGTTTTTTTTTTTAATTGTATTATTTTCTCTCTATAACTATAAACTCAGCTACAATTTGATCGACACTTTTCGCTTTGCTGATACAACAGATTTCTTGTGTCAGCGCCGCATTCCGTTCGCATGCATACAGTTGGATTTGAATGAAATCCTATTTAATTCTTGTTATTTTCTTGTTTGTTCTTAATTTCATTTCTGTACAATTTCTAGTATCGTAAGTAAAAAAAAAATGTTTTTTTTTAAATTAATTTGTTGTACCGATTTGCCGCCCCAACGCTACGCGCAAATGTCACACCTGCATTTTATCCACGTTTCGCCTGCAGCACCAACAGCGTCACTACCAGAAAACCGAAGATCCACGCGAGCGTACTCAAGAAACCCGAATACACGGCGGTCTCGGTGATCTCCCAGCCACGCGTCAATATCGAACGCAACGATGTGGTCGCGAGTGTTAGCGGCAGGCAGAGCGATATGTATCTGTAATTGAAAAACAGTTATAAATACATTTTACTCATTTTTTTATTTTTATTTTTTCTCCCACTCACCGCAACACAATCGGCATTCCCTCGATGGGCCAAATCACACCCGACAACAGCAATGTTGGATAGAATGAGCCCAACGCGAGTTGTATAGCGTTACGTTCCAACTCGCAAACCGATGAGATGAGAAAGCCGAAACACATGCCACAGAGACCTTGCAACAATGTCAGCACGACAACCCAGAAGAGATCGCCATTGTTCGTTACACCGAATACGACCAACATAAAGATTAGTACGAGCGTTGTTTGGCCGCACATAACCACGAATTGGGTGATGACATGCGAGAAGAGTATCTCGCTTGGTGTGACGCCGGCGACCCACGAGCGATCGAGTAGGCCCTGCAAAGAAATGTAAATTAAGATTTGAGCATTAAAAAATTAAATCAATATGATGTGTTGTTGTTGTAGCGGTTCGCTAACCCCGCTTAGGCACACGTTTGCTCAGTCTAAATCGCCGAGGTCATTTAATGGTAGGTCCAGGAAACGAGCTGTTTCGACGGGGTTGGACCAGAGGGAGAGGTGGGTTAGATGAGTTGGTTTGAGAGGGCTTGTGAAGAGGTGGTTAGTGTCCACATGCAGGGCATACTTTGGGTATGCTGGGGTCTAGTCTGGATAAGTAGGGGTTTAACCTGCTACAATATCCAGACCTAACTTGTGTCAGGGTATAAAATCAATCAATACCTTGTGGTATGCTTAGGTGATTGCAATAAAAAATTGTTTAAGTTCTCCTTTCAGCGATATAAAAATAGAGCCAAGCTTTAAGTTGGAAAAAATATAAATCTTTGGTAAGTCAGCAGTTTTTGGAAGCTATTTTTTGAGAGCCCAAAGACATCAGAAGTGGAATAAATCTGGGAATTCGAAGATGCCAACTCATGGAAAATATTTTCCAATTTGTATGTACATAAATTAGGGCATTTTGCAACCGCTGAAGCAATTCTCGGCCGAGCTCCTTTTGCGATTTCCAATAAATGAAGGCAGCCACAGTTTATATTAAGTGGCCTTCGATGGATTTTTATGAGGAGCCTTTTATTTCATGTCAGAATGCACTCAGAGGACTTGACGAAGTCCATGCGGGTAAGGGGCTCAAGAATTTACCCGCGGTAAGGCATGTCTGTCGTAAGAGGCGTCTAAAATCCAATAGTTCCCGCGACAGTTGGGTCTTTATACCGGAACGACCCGGATTTTTATCCGGCCAAGGACTGTCACGCAACATTCCCTAAAAAGTACTTTGGGGAATAATTTTGCGGTAACAACAACAACAACAACAGGACTTGACGAAGAACAAAAATTAGAAAAATGTATATTTCTATGATTTTGGATGTTTGTCGGCCCAGGTTCGAGCCCTGGTCTTCCGAATGGTAGTGGATGCTGCCAATCACTCGGCTATCGCGACTGCCGTACCACCGGTGAAATCCGCATACATATATTTAGATACTGTAGCTCAGATTAAATCCCTTAAGTAATTCTTAAGATTCATTGACTAAAGCTTGGTTTTATGAATATTGAATGAGTATTGAAATATGAGTTGAGATTGGCTATCGGATTTAAATATAATTTTGTTTTTACTTCCGTTTCCTTATAAGCTTTCCTACACTCACCTCAGTACGCTCAATGATTAAAGCAGATGACGTCAGAGCAACAGCCAAAAAGAACACAATACTATAAATAGATGAAAAATGCATAAGTGAAAAAAGTAGAAAAATCATTAACATTTCATTAAATAATTTAATATGCAAATTCACAGTAAAAAAGATATAATTTTTGAGAGAGTGAAAACTTCACATTGCCTTTAAGGAACATGCAACTTACGTCAATATCACACCGGGCGCAACAAAGTCTGTGAATGACGGATTCATTGTGCCATAAATGGGATCCCTGAATTGTATTGGCACATCGCCGAGTTTCGGATTATTACCACATTGCTGTAGCAATTCCATAGCAAAGGCGCGATAGGCCAGTTGTATGTCACGATTCAGCATAATACCGATTTGCTGATTGGACATATCAAGCCAAACCTTAACTTCCGATTGGTCTATGGTTTCATCGTCAGCATCGCGACCTTGAGAAAGAGAAGCAAAAAAAAAAAGAAACGAAAAATAAATAGAAATCGAAATTGAAATTTTCACAATGTTTCGACCTACCTAATGCCATACGTGCTACGAACGCATCTGTGAAATTCTCTGTTATGTATAGCACACCCCAAGCTTTGCCCACTCTCACCGCATCCTTGGCTCGTTCCAGATCCGAATAATACGTTTTATCCATGGTGTCGTTCAAGTGGCTTAAATAGCGGCAGCCGAGATTTGTGAAATGGCAAGAATCCTCCCAATAGCAGATATCCTGAAGGAGGCAAATATTGTTATAAATATTTTATTTTTAATTTTTGCAAGTGCTTCAAATTCCTCTTGTTGCTTCTTGTACTCACTGTGTTGTTCATTTCATGATTAACGATAGCCAAATTCAAACCAGTCGGATCACGTCCAATCGCCAAACAGAAGAGTATAACCTGCATAACGGGCAAGGCGAAGATGAACAGCATCACGCCGACATTACGCCACATACGCAGGAAATTTTTGGTCAATAAAGCCTTCATTTTGCCCTTAGTAGAAACCTGCGGGGTTGAAGAAAATGCGGAAAGTGGATTAAGGTTTTTCTCCTTCTCATTCAACATTCAGCGCAGTTTTCCAAAATCGATCTACGCACCTGACACAAATTCGCATAGCAATCTTGGCAGCTCTCTTCGTCTTTCGGCTTGTTGCGTTTCAGATTTGGTGGATCGTAGGGTTCTTGATTCAACTGTGTGTAGGTGCAAAAATAGTGGTTTTGTTTTTGGTTTCATTCGAGTTTCAGTGTGGGGAAAATGAGATGAGATTAGACTTGCGTTTGATAAAATTGTAGTCTCCGTTTTTAAAATATGAAAAGCTCCTACAGACTTTCGACAAAAAAGTATATTTCTTGGAATCACCGGTCAAGACAGATTTTCACTTCTACCTAAAAAGTACTCCTGAACTCACATATTACAAATTTGGAAAACACTTCCACTACTATCGATGTCTACAAACAAGCTCCCCACCGTAAAATGCAATGGGTGCCTATAGAAGATGCTTTCATGTTTGAGTAGCATCTTTCAAATTGAGGTGAAGAGATAGAAAAATAGCAATAGTTTCTCCTTGTACACTTCGGAAAGCTTCTTTTCAATATTACAGTAACTTTTTCTGTTATTAGATCCAAAATTAAATTTTCCATTTTCTTTAAGGTTTACCTTTTTCATAATTTGTTTGTGGGCAATTTATGTTATTAGCCGTATTTGGGATGTGCACCATGGAACTCCGGTCTTTGCACAAGACGGTAGGTAAGATTAGTGATTTTTTCACGACTTAAGTTCTTCACTCTTCGTTAGGTTTTTCAGGACATAATAGAAAAGACAAATCTTTTTAAATTCATTTTGTACACGATCCAACATATGGCTGCTGTTATAGCGGTTCGCTAACCCCGCTTAGGCATAGGTTTGATCAATCTAAGTCGCGGTCGAGGTCATCTAGTGGGAGGTCCAGGAAACGAGCTGTTTCGACGGGGTTGAACCAAAGGGAGAGAGGGGTTAGATGAGTTGGTTTGAGAGGGCATGTGAAGAGGTCATTTGTGTCGTGCGGAGACTCTCCACATGCAAGGCATACGTTGGGTATGCATATGGTAATACGCACTGCTAACCACCGAGTCAATACTTTATAAGAAATTACGTCAACGCTCTATTTGACTTCTTCTTGACACAATTTTGGAATCTTTAAAAGGGCGATTGATAAAATGAAGCCACTGGATTTAGAACTCAACTTTCATGGAGCTATGAGCGACCACTCAAAAACGCCTTGATACTTTTTTGGTCTCAGCAGTGGTTTCGAGAGATCCTATTTGGCATAACGAATCATCTCATTAGTGAGAAGGGCATATTCTGATCTTGGCATGATTACTACGATTTTTGTATGCTATCGCAAGACAAATCCTTTAAAAGATACTGGGGTTGCCTATTTTAATCACGGATTGTCATGAGATCAAACCGGTTAGAAAAACGAAAGAATGGTGTTCTTTTAAAGGGTGTTTTTTTAGACATGTTGTTTTCCGAGTCGGCCTTTTCAGCCACACTCAGTTTAGTCAGATATTTCATAAATGAATGAATTAAACTGGATTAACGTTTGCCAAATGGATAATACGCTTCCTCAGCGACCTTGCATATTGCGCGTCAAAGACGCTTTTCCTGCTGTGGAGCAGAATAACGAAGAAGACCCGAATCAGTTCATCCACCATCGTGCGCAATCAGTTTATAGAAGATTTTGCGGAAGGATCTTCGTGCGCACAGTGATAATTCCGATGATTCCGGCTGTCACAGGATTTTTCGTTCAATGATACAGCTCACTTTGCACAGGAGGGGTATGTCAATGAACCGAATTGTCACATTTGGAGCAATGATTATCCACAAGCTATTTTTGAGGCGCTGTTACAGGCTCAAAAAGCCATTGTTCGGTGTGTTCTATGAGCCGAGGAAATCATTGGTCCATATTTCTCCAAATAAAAAATAAAATTTTATAGTCTCGCGTATGTGGACCTGTGCCGTGATCTCCAAGATCTGGCAATTTAACATCGTTGGGCTATTGTTTTGTGGGTTTATGTGAAGTCGCTCGTCTCCGAAAGTCGATAAGTCGTCTAACCCTAAAAAGCCCACCTATGCTTTTCTGAATTGAATTGGGTAACTTGCTTTTATTACCACAAAAAGTACTTACTTTTCCATTAGTTTTTTGACAATTTTACGAGCAGAGGAAAATGATAAGGTGATACATATGTACATATTTATAATAGGGAAAATATTTTTTAACAAACCGTAAAGACCGATCCGTTTGTTTCGCTGATCAACACTTCTTTACTCTGATGGAAATTCAGGCCGACCACGCCTCCTTCTTGACTCGAACTGGGCTTATCCATTTTGCTGCCGAATGCCATAGCATGTAACGAGATATTATTACTGTTAGTCGAAATCAAAGCACGCACGCAGTAATGAGCATTAAAAACCACAACAACCACAATGAGATATTTATTTGTATGTATGTGTGTCGCATTCAGTTCCAGTGTGCGCACCGGCATGAACAACAACAATGAGCACCGATCAACCGTACACCAACAATAACAACAACGCAACGCATTGTGGTAAAAAACGAGCGAGCGAGCGAGCGATGAGTCACACACACAAAGTACGCGACATCACAACCGTCACATATACAGGGTGAGTTGTAAGAAAATGTGGCAAAATATATGAAAAAATAAATGAAATGGAAAACAAAAATAAAATGTAAATGGGAATTAATAAATATTCATGCAAATTATTCATGTTATAAATACCGAGTACATATATTTAATGAGGATTAGCGACAACAACAACAATTACAAACACACTCAAAAAAAAAAATCACAAAAATTCCAAAAAATAATCGTGCCAACATTTATACATATACGAGTATGTATGTATGTATTTGTGCTTTTAATATTCGAGCCACACTTTTTGGTAAAAAAGGCTCTTAATTTTGTATGAATGTGTGTATGTATGTTTGGTGTTGTCTTCGTGAATTTATTTTAGTTTATTTTGTATTCTTTTTTTTTTTTTTAATTATAAATTCAAGCATATAGGTAGCATGTGTCAGATATGTTTGTATGTATTTATGAAGGGTTGCTGTTATGAGCAATTGTTTACTGTTATATGAATTCAATATGTGCCATTCGCAACACTCACCTAAAGTTTACATTCGATATTTCGCCCTTTTGACTTTGTTGGCGCGACAATTTGAGGAAAACCTCCTCCAGACTTATACATTTGTACATAGAGAGCAAAACGCTGGGTGACTCTTCGGCCAGCAAATGACCAGAACGCATCAGACCGATCTAAAGTTAAAAAAGAAAAGAAAAAATTATATTTAAAATAGTCTCTTTTTTCTCATATCTCATATCTCCTATCTCATACGCACCGTATGTGCCTGACGCGCCTCCTCAATGTAATGTGTTGTTATGATAACGGTCTTTTGACCAGCCTTTGTGATGTGCACCAAATGATTCCAAATACTCTGTCGCAGCAGCGGATCCACACCCACTGTCGGCTCATCTAATATCAACAATTCCGGATCGTGCATTAAAGCCACTGCAAAGGAAACGCGTCGCTGTTGACCACCACTCAAATTCTTAACCAAACGTTTCTCCGATGGCAAATCGAGGAAATTCAACAGGAACTGTAAACGTTCCATTATCTCTTTTGTGCCCATACCGAAAATCCAACCGAAATACATCATTGTCTCACGTATCGAGAATTCACCATACAAAGCGATCTCTTGTGGCATGTAACCAACACGCTTGCCGGGCACGCCTGAACCGCGTGTGCCGGGCTTGCCGCCGAGCACGAATATTTCGCCCGAGTCGAGGCGTCTGCGTCCGACAATGCATGAGAGTAGTGTGGTCTTGCCACAGCCGGAGGCGCCGAGGAGACCATAGCTGAAAATGGGAGATCGATTGAAATATTTAAATTTTAGATGAGTGATTTTAATTAGATTTTTATTTTTTATTAAATTAATAATAATATTAATATTAAATAAATATTTATTTAGTAGGCCTTAGCGAGAGAATACACAAATCAAGAATAGTAGATTAAAATTTTTGATTATTCAATTGAAAATTGCACTCACCCTCAAAAATTGATTTTAAAACGAATTATCAAAATATTTCTGTTTGAAGAAAAAGTCTTAGTGTTGAATTATAAGATTCCGTAAGGTCTTGGAAATTAAATTCGATAAAGAAATTTTCTTAAAAGTTTTTATTGCGAGTTAATGAAAAAAAAACTTTCTTTAAATTCAGTTTTCAAAACTCTTGAGATGTCACTCCAATACAGACAATTTTTTTAATTTAAAATTTTTAACTCATTGACTTTATACTTATAAATAGGTATCTAGTTGTTGAAACAAATTACTTGAAATTTTTTTGTTTGGCAATTTGACTCAATAAATTTTATTTTAGTTTTTTGTAATTGTTTTATTTTATTATATTATTTTATTATCAATTAATTTCACTATTTTTTTTATAATTTGTGTTTATTTGAATTTTATTTGAGTTTATATTATTTTATTTTACATTTATTTTTATATATATTTTATTTTATTTTATTTATTTTAAATTTTTTTATTTAAAAAAATAAATTAAATTTATTTATTTATTTAATTTAATTGGGTTTTTTAGTTTATTTTATTTTTTGAAGTAGTTCTGTATTCTGCATAATTTTTTAATTTTATATTTTTATATTTATTTATTTCTTTTAATGCAATATAATTTATTTTTTATTTCAATTTATTTAAACTCATTGTTTTATTTAATTTGAATATCTTATTTTATTTAATTTAATTGAATTTTGATTATGAGTTAATGAGCGAAAGACCTATTTGTTTGTATGAATTTAACTTTTTTATTCTACAACAAAAATAAGTAGAAGTGACAGCTTTTTCGGAGATCACCACCACATCTCTTCATCAGACTTCTTATGGCACGGATGGAACAAATGGATCTTGACTTAACAGGCAAGTGCTCTACTACTGCGCCAACATCAGCCATTGAAATTATTGTTGTATTATGCAATTCATTATTAAACAACAACTATTAAGCTCGCTAATGTAGCCGCTATTTTCTTATAGCATGGTTAATAAGTTCGCTTAGTAATCCTGTATACTTTCAGGCGTTAATTCTGACGGAAAAATGTATAAGCAGGATTAAAGGTCAGACTCAACTTGTGTATTCGTAATTGTTTTTTTGCCACTCGTCTGTTTTAAATATAAACAAGTGAGTTTCATTCATTTCATTCTAATTATATTTAATTTAAATATTATTTTATTTTCCTTATTTGTATCTATTTTTTTTTTAATTTAATTAAATTGGTTCTAATTTTTTTATTTTTTATTTTAGATTTAATTTAATTTTAATTTTTATTTTAATTTTAATTTTAACTTTAATATTAATTTTAATTTTAATTTTGATTTTAATTTTAATTTTAATTTTAATTTTAATTTTAATTTTAATTTTAATTTTAATTTTAATTTTAATTTTAATTTTAATTTTTATTTTAATTTTGATTTTAATTTTAATCTTAATTTTAATTTTAATTTTATTAAATAATTTTTATTTTAACTTCAACTGAACTGTTTTTCTCTCGTTAGAGTAGGCCTAGGTTTATTTTAGTACTTTTTAGCTCTCACACTATTTTAATAACATTAAAACTATTTTACGATTCCATTGCGCTAGATTGGGTATATAATAAACTGATTTTAATTAAAATAAATGAAACTACACATAAAAATGAATTTATTACACGGAGATAAGTTTACATTGCAACGCTTTATAATTCAAGAAATATGACAAGCCATAAAAAGATTTAAAATTTTTGGTACTGCCAACATAATTAAATGTTTCCATTATTTTTTATTTAATTTTTTAACTCTTTTTATTTTTTATATTTATCTGCCAAAACATAGACAGACCTTACGTAAATACTTGTGGCTTAAAAATTGACATGCACATGTTTGTTGGTACGAGTCAATGCTAAACGGCACAGTTCAAGTTGAAATTCGGTTCAAGATGACAACAACAAAGAAAAAAATAAAATGTCTTCAAAACACAAAGAAAAAAGTGCCCAAAGCTAAACGATTCGACCTACCGACAAACAAAAGGTATGTATGTGAGTACAAAAAAGCCAACCTATACACTTACGTCTCTACTTTTGTTCATGTATGTATGTATGTGTATATATTTTTGTAGCTCAAAAAGTTTGAAGCAGCAAAGTCAACAAAGAACGTTGAGAAAGCAAACTGACACCAGCAAAACAGACACCTTGAGTTTAGAATACGACAATAATATATACATACATATGCACGTACCTTTGTAAAATTGTATATGTATGTAAAAACGGCATGAGAAATCTCATGCAATGGTTGTCTGCTTCATTTTCGGCAATATTTATCAGAAATGCTTTGGGACATAAAAAAATTGCCAAGCTGAGCTACTCAAGCAAAAACAACAACGGCGCGTTTAAATTACATGAGAGATCTTTTTTATGACCAGCGGCACGTACAGTTAACAATATCCAATGTTTAGTTGAATTTTTTCTTAAAACTAATGTTCTCGAATTTATTACATATAATTGTAAACGATTTTCCAGCTGATAAAAAGCTTAGTTAAGCAGCGAGCAAACTTAAATTGTTCGGCATAAAAAACTTAAAAAAAAAATAAATAATTTTAATTAAAATAAATGAAACTACACATAAAAATGAATTTATTACACGGAGATAAGTTTACATTGCAACGCTTTATAATTCAAGAAATATGACAAGCCATAAAAAGATTTAAAATTTTTGGTACTGCCAACATAATTAAATGTTTCCATTATTTTTCATTTCATTTTTTAACTCTTTTTATTTTTTATATTTATCTGCCAAAACATAGACAGACCTTACGTAAATACTTGTGGCTTAAAAATTGACATGCACATGTTTGTTGGTACGAGTCAATGCTAAACGGCACAGTTCAAGTTGAAATTCGGTTCAAGATGACAACAACAAAGAAAAAAATAAAATGTCTTCAAAACACAAAGAAAAAAGTGCCCAAAGCTAAACGATTTGACCTACCGACAAACAAAAGGCATGTATGTGAGTACAAAAAAGCCAACCTATACACTTACGTCTCTACTTTTGTTCATGTATGTATGTATGTGTATATATTTTTGTAGCTCAAAAAGTTTGAAGCAGCAAAGTCAACAAAGAACGTTGAGAAAGCAAACTGACACCGGCAAAGCAGACACCTTGAGTTTAGCATACGACAATAATATATACATACATATGCACGTACCTTTGTAAAATTGTATATGTATGTAAAAACGGCATGAGAAATCTCATGCAATGGTTGTCTGCTTCATTTTCGGCAATATTTATCAGAAATGCTTTGGGATATAAAAAAATTGCCAAGCTGAGCTATTCAAGCCAAAACAACAACGGCACACTTAAATTACAAGAGAGATCTTTTTTATGACCAGCGGCACGTACAGTTAACAATATCCAATGTTTAGTTGAATTTTTTCTTAAAACTAATGTTCTCGAATTTATTACATATAATTGTAAACGATTTTCCAGCTGATAAAAAGCTTAGTTAAGCAGCGAGCAAACTTAAATTGTTCGGCATAAAAAACTTAAAAAAAAAATAAATAATTTTAATTAAAATACAATAAAACAAAATAAAATAAAATAAAATAAAATAAAATAAAATAAAATAAAATAAAATAAATTAAAATAAAATAAAATAAAATAAAAGAAAGAAAATAAAATAAAATACAATAAAATAAAATAAAATAATATAAAATTTAATAATATAAAATAAAGTTAAAAAAAAAATTAAATTAAATAAAATAAAATAAAATTAAAAAAATAAAATAAAATAAAATAAACTGAAGCTAAATAAAATAAAATTATGAATATATAATTTGAACCTGGTACTTAATCCTGCCTATACATTTTTCAGTCAACTAACGCCTGAAAGTATAGAGGATTAAGCGAACTTACTAACCATGCTATTAAGAAAATAGCGGTTAAATTAACGCACTTAATAGTTGTTGGTTAAAAATGAATTGAATAATACAACAACAGTTTATGTGGCTGATGTTGGCGCAGTGGAAGAGCACTCACCTATTAAGTCAGGATTCGTTGGTTCGATCCCTGCCTTAAGAAGTCTGATGTGGTGATCTCCGAAACAGCTGTCACTTCTCCCATTTTTCTTTGTTGTTTAATAAAACTATTCAATTCAACCAGGCCCTTAGTTTACTTAATAGTTATATATAATATAAAATAAATTAAATTAAAATAATAATAAATTCAATTGTATGTAAGTACAAAAAGTTCTCTTTTCGGTTTTTTTTATTTTTTTTTTTTTATTTTTAGTTAATTTGCCCGAGTTTACGGCAATGACTTTTTGGTCAATGGTTGCGCTGTTTTTGTTATTTATTGCCAGTTTTGCCGTTAACTGTTTGCTTTTTTCACCTCCACAGCTGAGGGTCACAAGCTAATAAATGTATAGTTTTTTTTTTTTTATTTCGTGTATGTGTTTGTTTGTCTGTTTGCAGCGCTTGATTGAACATTTAGCCTCATAACAATGCCAACAAAATTTGACAGCTTGCTTGCATTGCTGTTGTTATTGTTTTATGGCTGTACCGCCATTGATTGGCTTTGTGATTTAATCACTTAATTCCGAACTGATGAATTTGTCTACAACCACAGACAGACGTATATTAAATTAATAATGAATTAACTGACCCGCGCAGAGGCATTAATGCTGAATTTAAAATTAAAATTTTGCATTTAAATATTTACTGGTATTTTTACTTTTTAATTATTATTTTTTGCATATTTTTTTTTTATTCTGCTTTGTTTACTACCATCAACTTGCACTTTTATGCCATTAACACTTTGAAAGGAGAAAAAACTCATAATATCTATGTCAATGCTTTCAGTTCTTCTTGATTTTCCGCCAGAGTGCAATTAACTCGTTTTAGTTTTACTCTAAATACATAAAATTATTTAAATTTTGAAATCAAGTGCAGGCAGTTATTCTAGGAAAACTCCTTTTTTAATGAAACTGGTTAAGTCTTTATTATTATTATTTTTTTTTTTGGAAATCATTATAAATATTTATAAGCATGTCGAATTTAAATACTTTTATAGCGAACATTTTAGTCAATGAAAACGCCTTATGGCCAATTGATGATTGCAATAAGCGGAATAGAGTGGGCTTTATTGTACCGTTCTACTTCCCAGTTCTCTATTCTACTTCCCAGTTCTCTATTCTACTTCCCAGTTCTCCAAAAATAGCTTTGGTATAGAGATAAGAAGCAAAGGGTGTTTTTTTTTAGAGACACTTGATCAACTTGGTTTGCCATTTCATAATGAACTGATTTATTTGTATGTTTAAATTCATTAACAATTCATTTTAATCTGTTCCTTTAATTTCTACTCAAAAATAAAACAAAAGTTTTGCGTTTAATATTCCTTTAATGACACGCGCTTACCCTAGCACTCACATACACACATACATCGAGTATATTCGAGTTAATTGCTTCCCTTGTTCAGGTAATTAATTAATATAATAAAAAAGCTCAAGCATTGAATTGCTATTTAATCAGAATCGTCAAAAAGCACACGCGTCACAAATTGTCTGAACAAATCGGTGAACAAAATGGTTGGGAATATAAAATAGCGCATTTTAATTACATGAAAGGCAAAATGAATATTGAAAAAATTAATAACCATTGAAAGCGTAAAATAAATGAATGAACAAACAATTAACGCCAATAAAATTTCCAAACAAGCGTTTAAAAAAAAGTATAAAGAAATGTTAAGGGAGTTAAAGGCGGAATTTGAATTTGAGAGTGATGATTTAGGGAGCAATTTTTTGGCGCTTTTTTAACCGCTGAAGCGATTTTCGGTCGAGCTGGGGGGGACCTACAGTTTATACTAAGCTACCTCCGGGCGGCTGATGGGTATCGACGAGGAGCATTTTATTTCATGTCATAAATAAAATCGGGGGAGTGGAAAAAATTAATTTCTTATTTTTAATTTGATTAAGAATTTCGTGTAAAAATTTGATAGTAAAAATAAGTCTCCCACGAGTTTTTTTCCCTTTGCAGAATAAATATATTTTTCTTCATCTTCTCATGACCCATTTAATATAACGAAGCAAAATTTTCAAGGCTCCCACCATTTCGCTGTCTTGGCTGAAATGCCTGTGTAGGCGCTAAAAATGTTCATTATGCAATGCCAATGCAGCGTGTGTTATCAACAGAAAGCGATAAATTAACAGCTTTTTAGTGAGTTTTTAAGCAAAAGTCCCAAGCACAAACTAAACAAGCGAGTTGGAGTGAAAATAATAAATGAACTCTTTGTAAGCTCAACCCTGATATGCATGTATCTACACAAGTACAGATATGCAATGGTGTGAGTTGACATTTGTTATTTGGACATAACACACTTAGATACATGCTCGTACAAAATATTTGTAATGAATGGAAGAAGAGATGTGTAAATATGTTTGTTATTGTGTACTATGCGGCAATTACTTCACATTGATGGTTTTTGCGGCGACAGAGCAAACAATTGTCTCAATAGTGGGTTGAGTTTTCGAAAATTGATTACCGTCTGTTGACATTGTATATTAAAGCGGTGCCGCTTTTACATAATATTTGTGTTATTTTATAATAGAAAATATTTTTACCTTTTTTTGTATAATAGAAAATATTTTTAGATTTTTTGGAGCTACTTTGCTTTTAATTTACTACACTTATGTTAAAATTTTAATAATAAATTTGAAGCTTTTAATATAAAAATATTTTTATTACTTTTTTCTTTCATTTAATTTATTTACATTTCGCTTATTTCACTAATTTAAAAGATTTAATTATTAATTCAAGCTTTTGATATAAAGTTTTTTAAATTTTTTTTTATTTATTTTAAATTAATAATTTTAAAATATTTATAGTGAATTAAAAATTTTTAATTTAAAAATTATTTGTTATTGTTTTTCCTTTTAATTAATTTTAGTAGCTTTTTATTTATTTTAATTATTAAAATAGTTACTACAAAGTTTTTGGTACAACTATTTTTGTTATAAGTTTTTTAGTAAGTTGAAGGTCTGGTTTGCTTGTCTGAATTGAATATTTTTGTTATATAATACAACAAAAAAAGTAGTAGAAGTGTCAGCTGTTTTGAAGATCACCACATCTCTTCATCAGACTTCTTATGGCAGGGATCGAACAAATGGATCTTGACTTAACAGGCGAGTACGCTGCCACTGAGCCCAATAAAAGCCATGTAATTTGTTGTTGCATCAATTCAATTCACTAATAACCAACATTTTATTTATTTTATCATATTTATTTATTATCTGTTACTTATATTTTATTTATATTTTATTATTTATTTTTATAAAATTTAATTTATTTGCTTTTAATTTATTTTATTATTTTAAAACTGTTTAAGCATGGATCATCCCATGCCCAATCTTCCCAGCATACTTTTAGGCATTAGTTTTGCTTTCTGTCATTTGGGGTACTCATGCATACGATTTGCATGCTTATATGCATAAGTGCAATGCCCAGATGAACTGCGAAGCAAAAAATGTCTATTAGATGCTGAACTCAGGGTGCTTGGTAAGACGCTAGACAGCCTGCATGTTTGATTGCTTTGACGCTTAACAACACCAGGAACTATTGAAAAATGCCATTTCCTAAGTGGTGTAAGCTTGACTTACAAAACCACCGCAGCAACCCCTCGCTCCACAAATTTTGAAGAGATCAATGAATTCTCACGCAACAAATGGAATAGTCACCCCCGCACTATATCCAATATCTCAACCGGAGCTCACCCCTGAGCTCCACCCAATAAATACATAGTGTGTGAAGAGGAGTGGTCATTCCACACTACCTATAAGCTTTTCCTATGGACTTCACACCCGAACTACATTAAGGCTCTATGAATAAATACCAAAATATTATTTAAAATCACCTTCTCTACTCCTAAACATCCTCTCCCTACTACCGTCCAAGCTTAGACAGAAACTTTAATAATTAGCTTAAAGTTTTTAATATAATAATATTTTTTATTATTTAAAAATTTTGTTATATTTTTTATTGCATTAAAATATTTTTTTAATAAATACAAACTGGTTTCAATTATTATTATTTTTTATTATATTATTTATGGGTTTTATAAAAAGTTATGGTATTTAAATAAATTAAAAAAATATTTTTTCCTATTAATTTTTTATTTTATTTTTATTTTCTGCTTCAAACTCAATATTTTTGTCATTTTACTCACATTGTGCCCTTTGGTACGGTCATCATTAAGTTATTCAACACTTGTATGGCATTCTTCTTACTGCCGTATGTTTTGAAGGCATGCCGCACGGAGACAGCAGCCTGTGCATTCCGATTCCAATGTGCCTCTGTTCCGCCATCGTTATTTGTGGCCATGACGGGATCGGTGGCGCTGCAAAGAGGAGCAAGAAAGGAAATTTTAAATATTAAAAAGAAAATCAAATGTATTTTATAAAATTCTGATGGAATTATATTGATAATCAAAAGAAATATATGTCTGTATGTGTACTACTATTACAGACAAGATGTGCAACAAATCGGTAATAAATTAATCAAGTTCGTTGCTTAAGTCTTTTGTGTTCTGAAGTTCAGTCGAGAAAAGTTTTTTTATATCATAGTTTTTATCGCTTGGAATCGTTGGAGCACTATATATAAGTTGTAAATTGTGAAAGTAAAATTGGAAAATAAAATATATGGAATGACATATATGAGTTTTTAATTGATTTGTTGGTAATTGATGGCAGCTGGACTAATATTAGTAGAAAACACAGGTTTACAAAAATATTTTTGAAGCAAATGTTTACCTAATATGTGAAAATAAACCGTGAAATATAAGTAAAAATAAAGATGAATTTATTGAAAATAGAAAATATCTTTTTCATCATACCAAAACAACANAGAAAATTTAGCTTTCTTTTATTTATTATTCTATAACTTTTCTATAACTTCTGACTGTTGGTCGCACCAGTTGGCCACCCCGGCTGCCATTATTATTAACCAAATATTTTTGGCAATATTTTACTGAATTTTTTATAGCATTATGTGTTTTAGAGTTTTTGTTAAAAATTTATAGTCAACAAAATGTTACATCTGAAGAAATTTTTTGTTTATATGTCTTACCAAATTTTATGTCTAACCACAATTTATGTTTGAACAAATCTTATGTCTAACCATAATTTATGTTTGGACAAATTTTATCTCTGACCAAATATTATATCTGTTCTAATTTTATATGTAACCAAATTATATACTTGGCATTTTTTCGGTTATTTTGTATTCATGGATTTAAGCTTAAATAAACTAAACTAACTAACTCTTTTTTTATCCTTTGGCGTAGATATCGATTCATATTTGGATCAGTAATATTTTATTAAACTAATATGTTATTGCAAAGATTACTCAATTTCCCATCAAAACAAAATGGGTTTCCTTCCTTCAATTGCGGTTCAGATAAGATTTCATTTCACTTTTCAAAGAGAGCCGTCAAACGACTATTATGCCACAATTCGCGGCACAAATGCGCAGCAAAAGGAAAAATAACACTTATAGTAAAAATATAAATAAACAGCAACAATGTGCACAAACACACTTATACTGGTATACAGTGCCACTTTAAAACCGCATCGTCTGTATTTGTATAATTATTTTGTTTTGATATTATTATGATTTTTTCGCTTTATTTACTTTATGTATTTATCCATTTCCCAATCCACCGCACATACACACGTACATTTGCACATTCATTACTTGCTTGTGTTGCACTTTGCATTTATGCACAGCGACTGGCGCTTACCAGCCAAAGCCATCCCCGAAAGCGACGCCACTGAAGCAGCAATGAAGACACAAAGCACACGAAGGAAAAGGCAAATAAACACTGTAAAGTATGTCAGCAGTGCAGAAACTGGTGTTGCCAGTCCAACAGCCGAGCCACCAGTCCGCAGTGAAACCAGCGAGCGGCTGAGACTTAGCCATCCGGCTACGTCACTTTACTCTGGCAGACATTTCTCAATAACTGTCACAAGCCAACCAAAAACAAAAGTTGAAATTTGCAAGCCTGCAAAGTTATTTATTTTTATTTTATTTCTTTATGGCTGGATAACAACAACAAAAACCACGTGTTGCAAGCTTAAGCTTTAAATTTTGTCATTAGACGGCGCACATACATATGTATGTAGATGTGAATTTTGGCTTAGTGACATAAAAGCGGCAACAGCTTTCAAGCGGACGGACGGTCGGCGAATAGGACGACCATTCATTTGAGCCACTTTGTGGACGCCAGCAGTTGACTGACTCTGGGTTAGTGGGTTGCTTGTTCACACCAAACTCAGTTGCTACTACATGTTTATGTGTGTTTACATATATATGTATCAGCAGCATTCGTAGTTGTTTTCAGATTGCAATTGCAAGGAAATGCTGTGACGCGTATCGATTGCTCAATAAAAACAACTTTTATGCGGTGCCAGGTGAGAGAGCGTATGAGGGGAAGAGAGGAGTGAGTGCTAATAGGTACTCACATCAAAAGCATTTGAGTAATATTTATAAATATATGTATATAAAAATTTGTTTGATTCTTGGATATTGTAAATAGACACACACACATACATATACATAAATATTATATTTGTAAAAATTTGTTAAAAAAGTTAATGGTAAAAGCACAAATGCTATGAGAAAATACTAAAATCAAGTAAAAATATTTAATATGTTTGTACGAGTATGTATGTTTGCGGTTTGCGTTTACATAATACTGCATGCAACATATTCAAATGTAGTCAAAATATAAAGCTTTGGTATTAAATTTATATGAAAATAAGCACAATGCACATATGAAAATAATAACATAATTGCATTTATTACAAAAAAATATAAGTATAAATTTTTGGTACCACAGCATCATATAAAGACTCTCTGCTATTAAATATGTAAAGCCAACACAGATACAAGAATTAGTTAATAATGATTATTATGCAAGCGTCGAAAGTATTAGATAACTTTTCAACCACAAAATGCTAAAATTAAACAAATTATAGTCGAATATTAAAGCACGAGTGGTGGGTAAATTAATTGAAAATAAATAAAACTAAATAATAAATTATTCATGTTAAGATATTTGGAATTCAATATATAGGAAAAAATGGAATAAACAGAAAAATTAAGTAAAAGAAACAATATTAAACATTGGTTTGGAATAAAAAAGAAAATAAACAAAATAAATTCAAATAAATTCAAATAAATAAAATATGATAATATTAATTTTATGATAATATGAATATAAATTAAAATATAATTTCTTAAATAAAAAATTGAATTAAATCAAATAAAATTAATGAATTTGTCATTAATGAAAATAGCATAACAACAATTATATTATAAAAAGTTTGTAAAAAATTAATTAAAACCCATTAATAGATTTAATAATAAAATGAAACAATAAAATAAAATAAAATAAAATAAAATAAAATAAAATAAAATAAAATAAAATAAAATAAAATAAAATAAAATAAAATAAAATAAAATAAAATTAAATTAAATAAAATAAAATAAAATAAAATAAAAAAAATAAAATGGCAAAATAAATGAAATAAAATAAAATAAAATGAAATAAAATAAAGTAAAAAAAAATAAAATAAAATAAAATGAAATGGAATGAAATGCAGTGAAATAAAATAAAACAAAGTAAGTGAATACAAATGGGAATATGATTGAATTAAAATTTATTTTAAAATATAATCATCACTTAACTTAACGCACATACACGCATGCACATATATAAAATTACTTATTTATGCATACATATGGGTAAATAAAAAATTTGCAAGCACAATTTACACAAATCACAACCAATTTTTTACGATTTAGGTCAAGGTGAAGGCGTTTCTTTTTCAGTTGCAGAAAAACACTTTCGCTTTCGCTCTCGCATACGCCACCCATCAGTATAAAGTCAATGCACTCAATAACATATGCAGTTCATTATAATTAACCAAATTGTGTTAATTGCAGTTGATTGTCGAATTGTATCATTACGCCAAATCGTGTGTCTCTTTTGTTGTAATAGCACTTACGATCTTGCGTTTCTTTACCGCCAATGAGGCGTGAAAACATAGTTGATAAGATTTCGAAAAAATATAAATTAAAAATATATATGTAAATAAATAAATGAAACTAGTTCAAGGTCAAGCACTTAATGCGGCGATTTCATTTCGGCAAACACAAACAAAGGCTACGCTCAAATATATATGTGCGTACACGTGTACGTAGTCTGTGAACGATGAACTCTTGTTAAATACTGATTTTGCAATTGCACTAATCGCGGCTACGAACGAATGGTGGACAGCGTACGAATGGTGAAATAGTGAAATAAATAAGTAAACAAAAATAATAAGCAAACACATACACAGCGCTTTATGGGCTTTAATATGTCATGGTGGTCAGAGACGCAGCAAAGCCATTAGCACTCATCAAAAACTGCACTGTTAAATGCAAATATATAATTTTTACATATATGTAAACGCAAATGCCAATGCAGTGAAACCAGTAAAATAATTTATGCGAGAAGTAGTTGGCTGCCTTTGGTTAACATAATAACAAAAATAACTCTAAATGGCTCAGTGCATATGCAAAAATAGTTGCAATAAAATTAATATTTAATTTTTGTTTAGTTTACAAATACATTTAAATACTGTAACTATACTTCTGAGTGGTCATACGACTTGCTTTATTATTAAATTCTGTAATAATTCTAATGAATCCCCCAAAACCGAATAGGCAATAACCGGATAACTAAACTACCCAACTCGGTCAGTTCAGTTTTTTATTTACTTTTCTTTAGTGACAGCAAATAATAAAACTGACGGAAAAACACTTAAATATTTGCGAACTTATTAAAATTGTTGACACTTTTTTAAACGTCGATGTGTAAATATATGCACATATGCATACCAATATGCATCTTCAGATTTCTTATATTAATATGTATCGGTACCTAAACTTCTTTCACTCATTAGATTCTTCCGCAACAAACGGGACATGACATACTTGGATAATAGTGAATTTATATTGATATTTATATTTATATTTATATTTATATTTATATTTATATTTATATTTATATTTATATTTATATTTATATTTATATTTATATTTATATTTATATTTAATTTCCTCTCACGTCGCTGGATGCGCGTTCAAACAAAAACAACAACAGTTAGCAATTCAATATTTTTAAAATATTTACAACACCAGCAGAAATTTTATGAGATTTTTAAGAGCCAAGAAAATTTCTACATAACACGAATAGAAATGAGTAATAGGAAAAGGAAATAGCGTCGACTAAATTATGAGCAAATAACAAATAAACAAACACAACAACAAAAGCAAATGTAACCGCAAAGT